TTGCTGTCGGCTTGGTCAGCTGAGATGCGCGTGGTCAAGTGTCTACTTTTGATTCATACCGCAATTCGTCTTCGTTTCCCATCTCCGCGACATCTCCTTCTTTTGACAAGTGAACCTTATACCCCTGCCCGCCTTGGACCCATGATGAGTATTCTCCACGGCTGTGTATTTCACGGGTTCTTCCGGACGGAAAGTAGCGATTGTCATGTGTCTCCCTTGGGGGTCGGGAATTCAAAGGGGTCATACAGCAAATCGTGGCCACGTGCTTTTCTATTTTGTCTACAAATGCATCCTGACCCCCTTCTCCGTAACACAATGAAAAGAAAGCATATCACGTATGAAGCAGTTTATGGAAATATTTGATTTTCTAAAAACAAGTCAATATTTTTAGGCAACACCCTATTACTTTTGATATTTTTGCGTTTTTATGCTTTAATTTTTTATAAATATGCAATCTTTGTAAATTTTGGCATTTTATTTGAGGTATGTCACATACTATGAAGCCATTTACTGTAAGAAGGGTGTGTTGGTTGGTATAATTGGGCCAGTTTTAGAGCGATTAGATAGGTTATGTAAATTTGGACACCTATTAAGTACTGCTGTTCTCCTCCCACACGTCGAAATTATTTGCCTGAACTGTCCAGCATACGCTACAGTTTACGTCTTATCTCAACGGCACCCTACCATCTGCTTATATGTCCACATAACGACACTAAACAAAGATTAGCATTAACGCCTGGGCACTGCCTGTACATATCGGCGGTTTTTGACATGTTATAAATTCCGTGAGGTCGTTCGCTTAGCTCGTCAGAATGACCCCTGTGAAAATTGGTATCACTACTGCCACAAACACGTACGACATTTTGTTAAGGAGACATTTGCGTAATCTGCAAAAACCACATTTGAGGTGCACAATGCCACGCGTTAGAAGACTGCCTATAAGGACTTGTCACACGTGCTCATGCCATTTTTCCTACGTCGCCTACTGGCACGGATTAAGCTCTTTAACGGCATCTCCTCGAGGCGTATCAGCTCTGCACTAACGAGGGAGAGGACGGGTGCATCGCAGTGCTCATCATGGCAGCTGAACGCAGTTGGCGCAATCAATCGAAGTCGTGGCATCCAGATATTTGCGTCAGCGTCATGTAGCTGCCAAGCGCGTGTGATGCAATAAAGGTATAACTGTGTTACTAGGGGGGGGGAAGCTGTTAGGAGCGTTTTTACTGCAGCGCTTTCTCCACACGCATGCAAAGCATTGGAAGGAAGAAAACAGTGTGTCATTAATGTACTTTTTGTGTGCCTAATTAATTAAAGAAAATCCATATCCACTCGGGTGCCACAGACATGCTACTGCTATGATGCGCGTATTTAGAAAGGTTAAAAACACACCTTTTCCTTAAAGGAGTACGGCATGAGACGAGCGAAGCCCTGAATGAGGGGATAGTTGATAGCATCAATGTGTGAACGTTCATTTCCAGTTACTATCTGGCAAGATTTTTCATCGCAGCCCCACCTGTTAGGGGTAATTGTTGCGGGTAGGGATTAAGGCTTGAGATTAGGGGTTTGAATTAAGGTTAGAAGTTAGTGTTGCGGGGTAAGAGTTGAGGTTATGGGTTCGGTTGAGAGGCTAAGGCTAGGGGTTCGGGTTAGGAGTTAGTGGTTAACTGTAGGGGTTAGAGTTAAAACCCCTATTATCGCCGCTATCGTATGACAGGTGGCTGGTGGTTGTTAACTGCAGGTGCGGCTACGACATAAAATCCGAGCTTCTGTCCTCACAGTGAAGTGCGGAACAGCGTGCAAATACGCTGGGACTCAGTTGACGCCGAGACTAGCTGGTGAGTGATTACAAAACGCCTATACTGAAACCAAGACACAGAGGCCGACGTCCAAGTAAGAATCAGATTTCACTCCACTGACATGAATTTCTCTCTATGACTTTAGAAACGGTTTACCAAAAACCGCGCGATTTACCATAACTACAGCACAAGTATTGGCAAGAATCCCAAACTCTGCTTCGTTCATTTTCATGCTGCATAACGCAGCCGTTAGAGTATCGGCTTACGGGCATATTCCCAGGCACCCAAGATGAGCCTTGTGGCACATATTTCAGGCTTCAACTATTACCTCTTAAAAAGGAGCTGAGCCAGCTGTGGTTATGTAGCCCTACTTGAAGTTAATCAACCCCAGTCACCTAAAATACGGGAGCGGTGGTAGTAGGGGCATTTTACAGATGTGGTCGGGGGACGCAAAGCCATGAGGTCAAGTTATTATGTGCAAAAGAAAAGCCACTGGAAATGCGCGGTGACACTTTGAGTGGTTGAGGAATACTCGTCCTCACTCCTAAACTCAAAGCCGAAACCCGACTCTAACCCCTAGCCCCAATCCTGGCCTCTAGCCCTGACCCCTAACGGCAACTCTAAACCCTAACTCCAACCCCCAATCATAACCCTTAACCATTACCCTAAACCCAAGGGTACTGTGTACATCAGGTTGGGCAACACAATAATTTCAGACCCAGAGCTTTAATTATTTACTATGCTGCCTTTCCTCAAGAGCAGAAGAGTATTTCCATTTTCCAAAACATGCCGACAGACAAGGAATTAGAAATTCCGAAAAACCAGCGTAACAAGATCTCTATGAACCATATATTTGAAATGTAGTCCTTAATCCCTATAAACTGATGATAGGGCTAAAACAAAAGTGATTAAGTACTTGTAGAACGCAGCCATCACGGCAATGTAGATTTATCAAAAGTGACGACTCCCGCATTCACCGCAAATGGTTGCTCCCTGTGCGATATTTGATGAAAGCCTGCAGCCGAACCAGTATTTATCGAAAATTGCATCGTTGTTGTCGGCCAGTGGTAAGATCACTGCCTGGCAATTTCCCCACTTATGCTTGTTTTTGGACAGTGTTCGCCTGTGCGCTTTCAGTCTGTCTAATCACCCCACCCAACAAAATCTCTGCACTGAAGCTGGGCGTGTGGAGTAGTGCGCTGCGTACGCTGCCGCAGAGCCTCGATTCAGGCAGTTTGCGGTACACACGGTTGTCATGTTTGCAAGATTTTCGGTCCCTTCGATGTTGAGGGTATGACTGAGTATTACCGTTTTAGCTGTGATTTGAAAGCCACTGTTTTCGGAGTAAGCGCATAACTTTATGCTCCACGACTTAATACATTAGGGATGAACGGCAGATAACAAAAATTAAGATGTACTTTCAATTTCCACGACGTCCACATTGCCCCTCTCTGTCCGTAGTCTATTCCCTGGTGTTTACGTCTTGTAAGAAAGGTAAGAAATTGTTGATCTTGTGCACTACAGTTTTTAACGTCGTAATAGTCCACAAAACCATTTATACGTTTTCGGTATCGACGCGAAAACAACCTTTCCCACAATCACAACTTCGCTGAAAATACGTTTTACCTGTGCGCCTCATGTCGGTAAATGCTCCACATGTTCAATTGTACTCTCTGTGGGCTGGGTACTGCATAAACTAGGCAAATCAAAGATTTGATTGGTCCATAGCGCTTTCCGCACAATCCCGAGATTACTGATGTACATGTATGCAGTAGCACGTCCTTTACGTGGGCCTTCGCGCTCTGGAGGCCACCACGACCACTTACATCACTAGACATTCAACTGGCTCTGGCGGCCAACTGGTGTATGGTGAGGCTGGCACTGGGGAGCATATGCGCACGGAAAACCTGACAGTTCTTGATGTAACAAACCGACCGAAACTAAGCCAATCACGATTGCTACTTGACGGGATTACTGAGTCTCCCAAAGGACCGGTAGACAGTGTGAAATGACTCCTTACTGATGTGGTCTCCACAGCGCCTCCGAAGATTTGGCCTTCGGGGAGCCGGCTGGGATGCCAGGTTCATACAGTGGATCAGCTCGCGTGTGATACGCGTGGACGGGTTCGTCGGCTTTGTCATTCACTTCGGACCACCCCAACATGAGTGTAGTATATTTCTTGCAAGTCTGTCTTACTATGAACTAATTCGGTAGCAAGTCACCCATTCTGCACTTTCTCGTAGGACACGCGGTGTATGTCTATCGTGAGGGTGTATTTGTCATACGTCATTTTCTGCCTATTTCTTTTGATGCCCTAGGTACTTTGGGTGAACATTGAGCACGCATGACAATAATTTTGCAAACTTTTCGAAACTCTGATGTTTATTGTATAAAACCATACAACTGCTTCGTCACAACCAATGCATTTCTGAACAGAAGAAAACCGATTCCCATAACGGACCATCTGGTACAGAGTGGCGAATTTTGCTGCGAAACGGAAAAGTCACTAAACCAATATATTCTACGTTGGATCTGCAATCGGGCCTGCTAAAGCAAAAGCATCTCTTACTCCCCTATCTGCCAGACATTTTGTTATCTATAAAGATTTTCAGGTTGCGGCCCAGTAGTAACAGCATTGCCTTTTATTGATTTTTCAATCACTGGGATATTTAACTGTACCCCGTCTCCATTTAACTGCCCGCAAACTCGTTTTCAGAATATTTCCTCCATTTAGATGTTCCGACTGCGGCCCAGTAGGACGAGCATAGATTCTCTTTTTTTAAAGGTGAAGATTTGGCTAAAAATAATAAGACCTGACCTGCGCTTTTGTGGCTTTATTCAAAACATGGAGGCTGTTGGCAGAGGGTAGATTTGTCATACTTCATTGCCTATCTATTTGGTTTGATGCTGTAGGGACCTTGGGGGAACATTGGGCACGTAAGACACCGATTCGGTAACTTTTTAAAACTCTCACTTTTATCGTTTACAAACATGCTCTTTTTTCGTTACAACCTGTGCAGTTAAGGTGTAAATTTTTGTGAAGGCAATGAGACCTGAGCGTCACTTTTGTGTCTTAATTCAATACAAAGAGGCTGTTGGCAGTCGCAAGATTACAAGTCAGGAAATATACTTCAAAATAGTCCGTCCTGGATATCTGAACCTGGAGAGTCTGTCCGAAAACATACATTTTGCCAAAGAAGGGCATTATTCATAGGCCGTTTTTTTGATTTCATCTGCTGCCAGAGCAGATGGAGCGGTTGGTGGAATATTCGCATGAGCAGGAAGTTGTTGACTGCTCAAAACCTGATCGTAAGACGGCGGTTGTTGGGGGTAAGGCAGTGGAGGTGCGGCGGAAGGGGGATTTTGAGGTTGGGGTGGGTACTGCGGTTGGGGTGGGTACTGCGGTTGAGGCGGGTACTGCGACTGTGTTGGCTAAAGGAATGTGTAAATAAACGTATCTTATGAGTAAAAAATGTTTCCTCAGTGATCGCATCTTCCTCTCATCTATTGAGTAAATGAATGTGTGCTCCTTTTCAAGCAGATAATTGGAGACTTTATGAAAATCGAATAAAAGGATTTTGTTCGTGCACACCTTATTTCAACCTGGTAAGGAGACTGGCGTTTTCACAAATGCAAGCCCGCTTCCTAAACGTTATACGGAAATAGAGTTGTTCTAAAAAATTATTGCTGGCAATTCAAAAGCTTTATTTTCCTGGAAAAGTAAACTTAATTAATTAGGTTAGTTAAAATGTAGTTTATTAAAATGCCCACTTTAGTGAAGTTCATCCGATATTTATGTTTTAAAATGCACATTTAGATTTCGTGGACGTATTTTGAGCATCATTTTAAAAGCCCAAGGGAAATCATTCTATGGAAAAACCAAACACAGGCTTGCTATACGTATCAATAAGTCCATTTAAGGTACAAAAACTTTTCTAGCCTTATCGGAATGCACATGTTTGCTCAATGCATTTCGCTTACTTTTAGGCGTAAATTGTAAAAGGCGGATATTAAAAATTGTGACTGGTACCGGCCCGTACAATTTGTTTCCTTGAATGTAAGTGACATCTGTATAATACTCCGGTAAGGTACATTCTACAAATATTTGGAAATGCTGTAATACTTGTTGTACATCTGTATAAGCCTGTCAAAATACGTCTAGTGCGGTATCTGGAGAAACGATTCAAATTCTTTTTCTTATGCAAGGGATATATGTTTCGTATATTAATGCCACTTGTCAATCGTTTGACAAGATTGATAAACCCTACCATGCGATTTACATACGGTAGGTGGACGAAATCATAAAATGCCAGTCAAAATATCAAAATGCGTTCTCGTTTGGAAAAGGTTAATCACTGCTTGAGGTCAGGAAAATAAATTTATTGTTCCGGTGATCGCATCTTCTGAGCTGCTACCTGGAACTTTCCTGTTCGCTTCTATCAGCAATTTATTTGATTGCTTATTCAGTAGGCAGTTGAATTTTGCTTTCGTTTTCATTCTCTAGGAAAGAGTACGATTCGGTTTTGAAAAACTTTTAGAATTCCCAAATAATTTTGAATACAACCTGCTGTTATACAATCATTCAGGGTTCCTAAACTATCAGTCGCATAGTTTCCGCGTACTGAAAAATAACCATTTCTCCTCGTTATTAAGATAAAACCATATGGAACTTATACAATCTACAATGGATATGAGACATATTGCTAACTTTACAAACCACATTGGTAAATGCAGAGTCATGACATTTTATAGACGGTTATATCACGGTATTAAACAGTCACTTAATTAGAAAATTTTCCAAAACCGAATCATACACTTCTATTGAACTTCATTGAAAGAGTACGTCGTTTTTTATTGAATGAGCAGGAGAGTGAATATTCTTATACATATTTTCCATGACATATAACTGAATGATTCATGGAATCGAAAATCAACGAGAAACATGCATGCTACTAAAGTAGTTATTCTTTGCATACGACGGTTCCTTCATGCAGCCGGGGAGGAGTTCGTTCGAAAGCTGTCACCCTGAAGTAACTGGTATTATATAAAATTATTCTGCATGATGGGCAGTGCCACAAGCCTACTTGATTACTCCTTTCTAAACGAGATCGCATTTCGATATTTCGACTGCCATTTCATGGGTGAGCTCATCTACTGTGTAAACTATATATAAAGTGTGCAAAGTGTTAAACAAATTATACAACGTGCATTTGGTTCTCGAAATTAATTAACTGGAGTTCTTGCATTAAATTGCATGTTGCATATTTCTTTGATATTTAAGTCAGAGTAGATTCTGGCTTTCAAAAGATTTACTCTGCTCATCAGCAAAAATCCATATAATGCAAAAAGTACTGCCCATATTAAGTTAATGTTTCTGTTGATTTAAGACGTCCCAATAAATTCGAATAAGGTTTAGGAAAATTCGCTGATTGCGCATTTTTGCTAATTTGGTTCAAGTAAAATTTTCTCTAAATTGTATTGTCCAAAATGATGTCATCGACCCTTAGAATGCTATTTACATCCTGAATAGTTTTGAACCTAGTCTTCTATCGTACTTGCATTAATGCTTTTAAATTTGTACACTGTAAATCTTCGTTGAAGATAAGTCATACATTTAATGTGATTTTATAAGGCAATAGAGGACGCACGAAATGTTCAAATGGATACGGAATGTCGTGTTTATTTAATTAACAGCTATGATAATTGGGCACACCCGATAATTTATGAGCGTGCATTCGTAGAGTCCTTAAAACGTTTATATTTGGAAAACTTTAAAAAACCTAAAATATCCTGTCCTAATGCATATACGTTTGAGTGCATATAATGTTCCACCATGTGGGCATTTAAAAAATTGCCCCTTTGCATTTTCTGCGAAAGTTATATCAAAATTCTCGACGGCAAAACCAAGTGTGAAGGAGTGATTAATTGTTCTCGCGGGAAGGGTAAACGGCCTTTATTTTAGACACTTGGAACGCAGGTGAGATGAAAGGTACGGATAGCAAATGTTCGAGATTTGAAACCATTTAAAGTGCGACCCGATTAAGGAAAAACAGTTACCTGCTGTAGAGGTTCGGCCGGACATTCTCCATCTGTATGCGCGGCCTCACGAGAACAGCAGACGCAGTAAACGCAGATTGCACCACCGACGAGGAAGAATACACCAAAGCTCAATAGTCCCACTCCGGTAAGGTACATTCTACAAGTGTTTGGAAATGTTGTAATACTTGTTGTACAACAAGAAAGGCATGATGATTTTGTGCTTTAAGGGTGTGCAGAATTTCACCCTATCTTTCATACATCGCACACAGTACCCGAAGAGTTATACGTCAGTCCAACCTGACTGTAAAATGACATTAGGGATTATGACTGTTCTCTGAATGTCTTCGTCATCAGTCCACGATGACAAGGCCATGGCCACTAGCCTACATTGAGGCTTGGCCGTTGTATGGCATTGTCACGCAAATGAGTATTTGCGATTGCATTCGGTGCTATCTGGGGCCTGGAGTGCACTAGCTAGGCTGTTGCCGAAAAAGTACCTCATAGGAATTTAGACTGTCGGCGTGTAGTCCTGGGGTTGTACTATCTCTGGCGTATGACGGCCCATAAGTCATAAGAAGGACATTCGCATCCTCCCCTGTCTCGTCAATGAACACTGGTCAACTGATTATTTCCAGGCGCTCTGCAACTACCTGTTTGCGATGTGGGCTCTCTGCTTTGAGGCAGCGTGGAGGTGTTCGTCTCCAGCCTTGCAGTCAGGAAAGCTTGGACACGCAACACAATCATGCGGTTAGATATCCTCGAACTCAGAGGACCTAACGAAACCCCATTGTCCAGTGATGAGCACGTTGCTTGATGCTCAACTACTAAGAGTTCCACTGTCTGCTCCACAGTTTCGAGTTGGATTCTGACTAGCTGATCGAGGTGAACAAGCCGGAAAGGCTCTAAGTCTTTTTTAATCCTTGAGGCCATCGTGTCGGTGCAGGGTTTGCGCGAGGACACCGCCTACAATGGGTATAGCACAATTTTCATAAGAGGAGCATCGATATAGAAACGAGAGTCTGGAGTTGAGATTTTCCAATTTCACAAGTCATCGATAGGCAGCCTCACCAAACCGCGAGTCTGCAGGGACTGGGATTTGAGCCCAGAATCCTTGGTCGCCAATCCTTGTTAAGTTAAACGCGCCGCAGTTTAGGTAAAAGTCCGTCGTCGTGTTGGCTGCAAGGGAATTGAGATCCCGGGTGATACAAAACCTGGAATCGGTAATAGGTCTCAAACAAACCAGAAATCGCTAGTTCCGTCTCCCATGTCGTTTTTGGCTTCCCTTTAATCATATATTTGCGGTTCCTGTGCAAATGCCGGTTTGGGGTACCGACTGAGCCCCAGGGCGCAACGGTGGAATAGTATGGTCCATAAAATGTTCGATAAATACTTTGTCAATGGAATCCTTCGTGCAAAATGCGCAGTTAATTTTTCTTACTGCTTTCTGAATTCATCGCAGACATGTTGGCCACGTGTCAACCTAAAGTCTGGCAGGGTCTTGAAAACAAATTCCATCTTTTGGGGTTTAACATTGCAAACCCTCCTAAATTGAAGTTCAAAAAATTCCAGCTTTTGGCGGAACAGTTGCTCGTGCTGTTATGTTCTGAGGTTCGCTCCGGACCTCAGACAGGCAGTCGCATGCAGACTACTAGTGCATGTTGGTGTGTATTGTACAGAACAAAATAGGAGACTTCGAGATGAGCATTTCTGACGTATTCAGTCAGTCAGCCTTACCCAATCACAGGTTTGGGGGCACATGAATTTCAAACCGTAGTCACTTCGCCTGATCGCAGCCAACAGGACAACTGTCTTGTGTATACGTGCCAGACCGTCAAATTTACAAGCGCTTTATAACCAAAAGAATCTGTTTTCCGATTGGTAGTGTTCCCAAACGCGAGGTAGGGTAAGGTTTTCTGACGATGGCTTAATGGCCTGAAATGACCGTACCGGTCTTCTTTGTCCTTGTCGGCGACAAACCTATCTGTAATAGCTTCTGTTTTTTAAGTCGGTTTTTGCACCGTAGCTAGGACCTTTTAACAAAGATTTGTTGTTTCTGCGCAGGATACATTACGTGTCAGTACTTCATGTTAACACAAAATGGTACTCACATTCTATCGCCGATGAATAAGTAGTCATTTTCATAAGGGTCATAATAATCACCGTAGTCGTAGTCGTCATCCAAATTGGGTTTGTTGGTTTGTTGATAAAATCCGTCTTTGTGGTTGTGAACCAGGATGCTGCCCGCAATAATGAACGCAACTCCGAAGACCAGATAAAAGCCAGCAGTGACAACACAGGAAAAGTGGTGTGCTCTGGTAAACGTTTGGAATCGGCTTCGGGTGTTTTGAACGAACGTCATAATCCACACTAAGAGAGGGAGGCAGAAACAAGGATTCACTCAAAGTTGTGAGGCTGTTATCGGTAATAACGAAGTCAACCTCAGCCAAAGATAAATGTAGGTACACCGTAGGGCTATTTAAACGAGAATAATGTCAAACATTAAATATGTGGTCTCAAGAACTAAAGATAATGCACTTTGGCGGTCAAATGAGAAAAATGTAAATGAAAAGGAATCCGATGACGCTACTTTTGTCCGGGCACAAGATTTCATTATGTATCACTTATTTTCCTGTTTATCGTTGTGGCCCCGAAATGACACATTACCCGAATGCCTGAGCAAAAATATAAAGGGTGCCAGTAGGTAGTTAGTGGAAAGAGTATTATTTGCAATTTATCCACCATGCACCAGCAATCGAAATTAATATTGTTCTATATGCATACAGACATAATTGTGTCATATTTTGTTAAATGGACATGTTTAAGCTAGCGGTGCTTACGAAAATAGTTCTCTCTTTAAGGACAAATCAAGTTTAGTTTCCAAACGCGCATTATAAATCAGCATATTTTGAATGGCAAGAATGTATTTATACCTGTGCTTAAACTCTCACATATAGGAGTCTTAAAAAGAAAGCATTATTAGGTTATAAGACTGCCTTAGTTTGCAGTCCTTTGAAAACGAATTGTTTAAATCACATCTGACAAAGTAGTATTATGTGTCCTTTAAGCTGGCATACAAGTGGACAAGAGTACTGATGTAGACGGCGAACCTTGTACGAGTTTTAATAATATCTGGCTTGTAAGATTATAGTCACGAAAATACGAAAAATTCACCTCAACAAGCGAAAGCACGACGTTCATTAGGAACAGTCTTTCTATATTTTATAAATCAAATTTCATTCTAAAACTCTTTTATAAAGAGAAAATTTAAGTAAATTGCACAAACTTTATATTTAGCCGACTGGTTGATATTTACTTGTCTCCGTTTTATTGATATTCATCACTAAACCTGAAGGGGTATTTTGTAGCTTCTTCTACAATTGATTTTTGTAAAAATGTGACTTTATTTTGCTGGTTAGAGAACATTTGGCATATACACGCCCGCTTATTCAATGGACGTATTTGCAAGACGATATCAGACCAGCATTTTGCTTAATAAGGAGTTCAGGTCTTTGAGCTTGAAAGTTTTTAACCTTTGTCTAACCTCATTTTTAAGGCGAATAAGTAAGGAATTATACCAATTTTTGATTGCTCTCCGAAATTTGCATTTGGCAGAAATCAAAACTAAACTACCGATCTAAAGCAAACTTAAGAGCTCAAAAATCAAACCTATTGAGATCATCTTACCAATATTCAGCCGGACGTTCAAGCAAACAGAATTAAGTATAGTTCTGTCAATACTGATTTCAAGCAAATAGTCATAGCGCGTTAAATTTTAAAGATAAGAAGGCATAATTTTCTAAAAAACAACAGGTCTATTTGCGTATTGTACGCAAAAGGTGATCTAACTAGGCACATCTTACAGAATTACCTGTCGAGTTTACAGCTGCCGTCACCGCGCTCGGCACACAAATATATGAAGCAGAACAAAGTGAAGATTTTCAAGGAACACACCAGCATTTTAAGCTTTATTTCCATTAGCCAGTCGCAGCCTTCTGCTAAATCATTGGTTACACGTGATTAACAAAGTGCTGTTCTAAAGCCTTGCGTTCTCCCATAGAAAAAGTTCCTTTATGTTTTACGCATTTCCTTACGTGACGTTTATATTGGGCGCTGAAAATGAAGCTATTTAAGCAATAAATAAAAAATATCATGTTCTGTATGACATCCTTTGGCTTATGAGCAGGCTTTCTGTCCACAATCGACGTTTACCTACGCTATGAAAACCAACAATGCTGACATCTTAGGAATAATTTAATGTAAAGTTCACCGGGCAATGTTTCTATGAAAGACGATTCAGACGTAGTTCTAACCCCATCGACGTTCTAGGAAAATTTGCCCGTTTAATGCCTCATAATTTGCCTGAAACAGTTTTTCAAAAATTCACAAACAACAGGAATGTAGGGGCAACATGACTATCATGTAGACTTTTACATCTATGCCCAACAAGCCGAATGGTTATCCATATGTGTGATATTTCGTCCGCATTGGAGTTCTTTTTGTACCGGCACGTGAGGCTGTCTAATCGTGATTCAAAATAAATGTTCAAAACGTGCTTTGAGAACACTGGCAACAGGTGGCAAAGGGGGAAACTTTAAAATATTACGATTTGGCTAGTTTATTCATGAACAAAATGCTTCCCTCCTTCCAGTGAATCACTGTGTTTGAGTGCAAATATTAGTAAAATGGAATGTGTGCAAATAAGGCATAAAATAAGGCCAGACTTATGCTAACATTGGCAATCAAGCAAGACACATGCACTTATTAATCAACTTCGTTCTTAGCACAAAGTAAATCTCATTTCTGACCGAGCAAATGCTTCCACAGCGTAGTACACCAAAACAGTCAATCTGAAAAATTAGTTATATATCTTTGTATGGACATTTTGCGTCAATAGGACTCGTCCCAATGCATTTTACGTCATTAGAACACGTTCCAATTCATTTTGGTTAATATTCGCCAATTCTCCTAGCGTAGGAATTCTATTGAAAAAATACAAAAGTTCTCTTAAAATAGACGTCGTAGAAACAGTCTTAGGTTTGACTAAAAATTGTCCGTCTGAGAGGCGCTATTGTCATATCGTTCGTGCCTTACTTCAATCGTCCGTGAAAAACAATTTAAACCAATGTTCATATTACATGGAGGACGACACTAATTATTTTAATCATTATCCATTACGCAACAGTTTAAATGTTTTCTGAATTAGCGGCGTTCAACAGCTCGAGTGAAGCCCATAGGCGTAACTGACATTACTCTTCTAAAAACGTGTGTCAAATAAGGTTGAAAACAATGCTGGGGTCTATTCGTATGGCCAATTTTTACAAGTCGACGTCTTTATTGGATATTTTGTCAGATTTTGAACATTTTATATTGACTCTACGGTGAAAACTGGAAGTCCCGGTGAGATTTGAATCCCGACGGCAAGGAAAAGACTTTACTACAGTTAACGCTCTATTCACTTGAGCTTCTAGGTAAAAATATCCACTAATTACGCAAGTCTGGCAGAGAATACGGTGGATTCTAGGTGAATAACCTGGAAAATCCTGCTTGGGCAAACAACTTATTGTATCAGATTTGGTGGATTTCAGACGTTACAGTACATTGGGCGGGTAAGTTGACTCCCGTCTTCTGGTGGGGTCTCGTAGCTCAGGCCTTCCTCTTGCTGTCTTGGGTTCGAATTCTATCAAGACGTCGAAAATTTAACAGCTGGCCCAATAAAAATTCGACCTCTCTAATGACCGGGCAGACGGATGCACTATTATCCTTATTGAGTAGTATTTGCACCGTTTTTTTACTGGCATTCGCAAATATCTGGCATGAGGAGAGTCCTCATAAAAAATGGACAACGTTTGGGTTGAACACAGGGCTACTTGTTCGCAGCACCGTTTCCTCTTCCCCGCTCCTCAAAACACTTTCAACTCCGTGGATTTCTCTTCTTGTTTCATTAACTTATAGGGGGCTAGCGTAGGCTTCCATTTTTCGTCAGCATTTCAAGCGCAATTCTTAGTTTATGTAGAAAGACGCTTCCTGCGCCCCTGTAAGCGCCAACTGTATTTAGTTTGAATAAAAACGACTGTTAAGCATCTGTAGCTGAAAGAAGTCATTTAAACGGGGAAAATTTCTAAAAAGCTTTAATTTTATATGTGTTAAATTAGAGCCAAACGTTGCTCGCCTGTCATATCCGTCGGCTGCATTCATTGTCAGATGTTTAAAAGGTGCACATATAGGCTCTGCGACTACGATGCGTACCTTGCTTTTAACATGGAATGCTGACTGCAGGACTTCGTCATTCGTGTGGACCCCTGCGCAATTTGGCTCGACGATATTGACATTAGGAAAGGGGGTTATCCGCACGCTGTCCCCAGACAAAGTCGCAGCGCTGAATATTGTCCGGGGAGGTCGTTGTGCTTGTTGATTAATTGAAGACCAGAAAACCATGACTCGAGCAGTTCGCGCCTCACGCGGCTGCCACCTCTAGCAAGAATTTCCTCTTCGTCAAACTTTCTGATGCGTAAAAAAGATAAGTCCTGAGTATGCGCCCAATTGGCATTTACTGGGAACACTAAGTCCCTAACACAGTGACTATGCCTTTAGACGATACTTGTTGAAAAGAGTTCGCAAAAAACGCAAATAACCATAGAGTGTCTCGGATAAACACCATGACCACCTGCGCTGCCTCTAATGTCTATATTTTAATTTTTGATGAAATTTTGAACTATATTAGAGAAACCAAAGTCAATCTGAAAATGCAAGGTGATCAAGTCTCAGAACGTAATGTGACGAGCAACTTGCCATTAACGAGGACACCAACGACAGGATGTTGGACTCCGACTACCTTGAGGTAGCCTGTAGACCGTGTCATACATTCAAGGAGGTTTTACGGGAATGTTAGTGTACCACTGCCATGCATTTACAGTCGAATATTTCTTACAAAACGCCAAGCTGGTGCCGTTAGACAAAAGTAATGCTACTACGCCATCCAACCTGGCGTACGAGCACAGCCAAGCTGCCAACGCTGCTGCTACTAAGCCTGTGTTTACTAATGCATGAAGAACGAAATTTAAACGCACTCTTCCTTTACATTCTTTAGGCAAAAACACCGAGCGTGTACTAATTTGAAGAAGTGCCCTCATTCTACTAAAATGAAATACAAACGAGGTGGCTCACCTGTGTGCGTGGTGGTGGTGGTGGTGGTGGTGGTGGTGGTTGGAAGTGCTTCCGTTTATTTGTTTTGCGTCCACAACAGACGCAGGCAGCACAGATGCTTCCGATCAGATTAAACGCAATAATAACTGTCAGGGGAACTAGTCCACAGGTGGAAATTCTGAGCAAAGAACAGTTATGGGACACAGTTGCCCTGTC